CGTGTACTAAATGAAGTTTTTACAAACTTGTAGTAAGCCTATGCATAATGCAATGTATGGTAGCAATTATTTTTGAATAGAATAAAATGTGACTGGAGATTGACATACAGAAAATATGACAGTTGGTCACATAAGTAAAAATAAGCGATGTACTATAAAAAGCATTGCAAAGGTGACTTAAGGTGTAGTACCAACTACCAAGAGGTTTTACTAGTAAAACATCTTTGATGCTATACTGCACCTCGTATGAACTGGTAGGTTTGAACCTTGTAGGTTTACATTGAATCTAATACTGGTCCTTCTTGTGGTTGCTTTGAACCTCTTGAGTTTGAGTTGAGCTTGCATCTCAGAAGGTGGTGGTCTGAGGCAGCATCAGCTACTTTTTCACCCTTGAGTCTAGTAGTGACCTTCTGATTGATGCAGATGTGGTCTATCTGGTTTTCATGCTGTTGTCTGGTGAGACCCATGTTGCTTTGTGAACCCTTTTATAAGAGAAGACAAGAAGACACTCTCACTGATAGCATGACTGGAGAGGGCACAAATGTCACTAAACTGCACATCATTCTCATTCTGTACTCTTAGGTCATGTTTTTCTATGATTTGTTCATGATCAGTACTTTCTTGCTCAACCTTCACATTGAAATCACCCATTACTAAATTATATCTTTGCTTATGGAGTACTATAAGTGATCATAGAAACTGTTCATGATAGTTTTGGATGACTACTATTTTCTGTACTTTTATATAAAACCTTGCAGTGATGATTCTAGAACTAATTGCCTCCCATTCCATTAAAGACCTGGTGCTTTCTTTGAGTTATACCTACCCCTTCTGTGTGTTGTACATCCTCCACTAGAAAGATGTGTTTGCCCTGCTTGGAACAATCTTGTTTCATCAAGTCCTAGTAGATTCCACTATTTCATTTCTGTTGCTGTCTCTGTGGTGTTGTTGACTTCATACATCGTCCTGACATTCCTGGTATATACTCTACTAGTAAACTTAGGCATGAGAAGGGGTATGAGCTGCATAACTTCCTTTCATCTTTGATTGCACCATGTCCTGCTTGCCTGGGAAGGAGTGCCATCTTATCCCAAGCCATGTTCTTGGTTTCCATTCTGGCTAAGTCTGGTTTTATAAGCCATAAATGTAATGTGCTGAGAAACACTATCAGAGCAGTTACTTACTTGGACCCCAGCAAATGTCTAATGGAATATAACACAGTATTGGAGCTTACAAGATTATTGAAACCAATATTAGTGTTATGAATATCATCTTCAGTATATCCCATATACGATTAGTAACGTGTTGCAGTAATGATCAAAAGAGTGCCAGGATCTTCAGAACTGTAATTTTTTTTCATGAACCTGTAAAGTTCACAATTATAAACAACAATGAATTAAATGCTTATGGTAAGGTTGTGGTAATCAGATAAGAATTGTTGTTATAGTTAGTAGCCTATGTGATTATGTAATTCTAACTATTAATTGGTTACTAATAGCTGTATTTTACTTGCTACATACTATTTACTAACCAGTTTTTATTCGACATTTGGCATACTAACCTTCTGCCATCTTCTGGAAAGTCCTGAGAAAGTTATTTTTTTCTCCAGTGGTACTGTAGCCAGGTTTCAATCATAGGTCTTCTCGATTCAGAGGCTGATGTTCTAGCAACTCTTTTATAGTCTCCCCTATTAGGGCTTGAATCAGCTGACTTAATTGAATGTTTTCAAGAGAGGTACCTAGGCTTTGCTGACTTCTGTAATAGATTTATTGAGTGTGTTATCTGTAGGTGGATATCGAAGGCTTCATATTATCTTCCTTATCCGTATGTATGGTTGGTATCCTGCTATTTTCATATTATTTCAAGTTATTGTATGGTCTTCTTTTCGAACATAATTGGCTATTGCATATAAATCAGTATTACATAGTTTTGTATGTCTGTTATTCTCCTAAATCCTAACTTTTATTGGTCTGTTTGTTTCTCTATTTCACAGGAGTCCATATTTCCAATATAAATTGTGTTTTTATTCTCTACTATGCTTTAGGTGGTTTCATATGTACTAATTGTGATCGTATTATATTGGGGTTTCCGAATATTGTTCTGATAATGTGCTGTTTACATATTTTTATAAAATTTTAAAAATAAAAATAAGTAGTAAGCAGAGATGAAAGACCATCAAGTCACTGTGTTTATATTTTGCATGCTGTATTATAAAGGTTGACCAAGGAATTATGTAAATAACAATGCAATGTAATATCACATGAAATGAGAAAAAGTATAAATTATAGCTTCTTGCTAATAACTCCTGAAGACAATGTAGAGGATGTTGAAACAATGTACATGTAGAGTGTGCTGTTAAAGTTGAACCCATTGATGTCTTCAATAACATTTTTAAAATTGTGTAAATATAAAACATTGGTTTTAATTACTTATTAAATTTTCATGTTTACTAAAAGCTTGCCAAATTTCATGAAGAGACATCTTGTAAATTCAGAATTGTAGTAAACATTACTATGTATAGCTCCACAGAAATAGGATTGGCTCAATGGACTGGCATTATTAACAGGGAGGAGTTAAGCCCATCTACTTAAAGGTGTTAAACTTTTTCTGTTTATGTACTTAAATCTTGTGGTGGAAATACTAATTTTTGATAATCCCTAAGATTAAAAATGCAGTCTTAAAACACATTAAAATAGGCCTAACATAATGTCATATGACAAGTATAATTAATTATAATAATACTTTGCCAGCTAAAAGGCATTCACATCATAACAAATACTTGCATATTTAAAAATACAGAAAAGGCTTCTAACACAAACGCTAATGGAACAGCATTTATGATGAAACAGTTAGAATAGCCAACTAAAAACAAAAGAAAAATATGTAATTGATACTTTGAAAGTTCTGATAACATGAGAAGTGTTAATTTTACACTCCTCATAACAATAGTTGTCACTAATATCTGAAGAATTACAGCATTAAAAAAAGTAGAATGCTTGATTTATTTAATTCAATCCATAAGGTGAATAAAATGTCTTACAAGCCTTTTTTTTTTTTGCTTTGATTTTTTTGTTGTTGTCAAGATAAAAACCTTGAATTTTTTTTAGAATTAGCTTAGGATGTATCTTATTGACTCAGAACTCATCTCAAGTGACAACATTTCATGCTTTGTTGGAGCCCAAAGTTTAGTTGTTTAGTCACTCACACAATACTAGAAAAGTATGAAGTTAATCTAAAAGTTTCCATCTAAGTACAGAAAAATGGGAGAACCAAAGGTTTTTTTTTCTTCATTCTCTGATATTCTAAACCTTACATTATGGTGTGTCAGTACTATAGTACATGTATTTCATACACTAAGATATTTTATGTTTGTATAATCACATAAATTTTAATTTTGTGAAATATTCATATGTATAATATATATATATATATATATGTAGTTTAATCTGATATTAATACTCAGTGCTAGTTGATCATATTTAGTTCAATTCCACAAAAATATGGGTAACATATATTTTATAATTTTCCTTTATAGAAACCAAAAATGGATTAATTTTGAAACTAGAATTAAGTACTCTCTTTTAGGTGTGTTTTTCTAATTAGCACATTTTTAGTATGGAAAGAGTATAATGAATATCATAAAAAAAAGCAGCTACTGCTCTAAAAAAAGCCAGTTAAAATTTGTTTTTGTAGTTATTAATTTATTTTTGATTATCAAAATATTTCAAATGGTTTGGTTTGTTGAATTTTGCACAAGGGTTATCTGTGATAGCCATCCCTAATTTTAAAGTAAAAGACCAGAGGGAAGGCAGCTAGTCAACACCATCCATTGCCAACTTTTGGGCTACTCTAATCAAATAGTATGAATGACAATCATAACAACCCCACAGCCAGAAGGGTGAACATGTTTAGTGATTTTATTCAAACCTGTGACATGCAGATTACAAATTGAGCACACTAACCACCAGGCCATAAAAACGAGGTAAAATAAAGTAAGACAATATAAGATTTTTTTGTTCATTATTAAGGTGAGGCAAGTTTTTACAATTGTTTTTTACTTTACTCTATATTAAAATTATCGGATCTTTCTTTATTTCCATGTATGCGCCATCATTCAGAAGATTTTTAATATTATCCTTACCTCGTTTTTATGCCCTACCAAAAGTACATAAAACTGTGATACCATTTTGCCCAATTGTTAATAACAGAGGATTGTCAACATTCTTGATTTCTAAGTTTATTTTTAACAAATTCTCAAATATTTACAGTTAGGAATTCATCAGAATTTATTGATAAGATTTAAAATATCAGGATAGAAGACAATGATAGATTAGTTTCATTTGATGTAGTTTCATTGTTTACAAATGTACCAATAGAAGAAGTATTATGTTGTTTTGAAAATATATTACTAGCTAGCATAATTTTTCATGTCTGGAAGTAGAAGATATTTTGAATTTAACACAATTATGTGTAAACTATAGTTATTGTAAGGTGGGTAATGAAATTTATAAACAGAATAAAGGTTTGTCCATGGGGTCACCATTATCACCTTTATTAGCAGAAATTTTCATGTTTGATGTTGAAACTCAGACACTCGAAACATCAGTGAGTTGTGGGTAAGATATGGGGATGTCACATTTCTGGTGTGGTGACTTGGTAATGACATGTTAATTGATTTCCAGGAAATGCCTCTGTTTCTTACTTTTTTTCATGATCCCTATTTGCAATTTTTTATTTATCTTGTAATAAAAAAGGCCCAAATATTAGTACATCCTTGTTTCTTGTGCTATTATATGTGACCACTGTTTGCTGGCACATGTCTAAAGTGGCAGCATTTTTTGTGAATACTGTAGGATTTCCTTTCTCTCTCTTTAGATGATAAATATTTGTAGATATTGAATTACTCAACATTGACAATAATATCTCTTTGGAATCTGAAATTTTATGATACAATAACATGTAAATCATTTCTGAGTGTTAATCTGTTTTCATTTTACCAGCTCCTTCACATCAAGGTATTGGCAAGTGTCGTTCTGCAATTCTTACTTCACTAAAGCGTCTTCAAGTAGATTACTTGGATTTATATCTCATCCACTGGCCTGGAGCATCAGGAAAGCATCCTGATGATCCTCAGCATAGAGTTCTTCGTAAAGAAAGCTGGCAGGAAATGGAGTCTCTTTACAGAGAAGGTTGAAGATGTAGAAACTAATAATTTCATGTAAAATTATGAACTGTTTAATGTGAAACAGTGTACTTATCAAGAAGTATATCTTATACAATAATGCCAAATTTTAGTTAAATATCAGGTTAAATGCCTTGTTGTAGATATATAAACAACAATGAAACTGTAAATGTAGGCAGAAAGTCTTTAATATAACTTTTTATAGCATACTCAGAGTATTTTTGATAATGCATTTACTAATTTTTTTCAGGTACACTGTGCTACTATATTAGGAGTAAAAACACAAAAACCACTGTTTGGGGGGAAATTGAAAGGTAATAGTAAAGATTCTACCTTTCATGTGCCAATAAACATCAGTTCTTGTGTTTTTTTTACTCTTAATGCATTTGTTAATTTAATAGTCAGTACTGGCACTCTCACCAATAACTTAACAATATTTAACAAAACAGTTTTTTGAAGTTTCCAATGGCAATTTGTCCAATACCAAACATTCCTTAGGTCTTAGACATTGAAAAAAATTATAGAATTAGAGCTTCAGTTTTCTATCTAAATGCTGTTTTTTGTGCACTTGGGCTAAATGGCTAAAGCTGTAATATATCTAGGAGTCAGTTAATGACATTTCAAATTTAGAAGTATTGAATAGAGAAAAGGCAGCCAATCAGCATCCACCACCACAAGAGCTTTGTTCAATTCTTTGAAATGAATAATGGGATTGACTTCCACATTTATAACTCACTCACAGTTGATATTGTGGAGTATTTATGTTCAGTGGCATTATGTTTTGAACTCTGCAACCAGAAAACATTTATAACAGTTCCAGTTTTAACTATAATAGTTGTTGTATCTCGGTACTAGATTTCATTGTCAAGATTTATTAAACAGACTTGCATTGCCACAGTTTTATATTCCCATGTTTTATCTTATGTATGTAGCTGCATTTTGTACCTCTGACCTCAAACTCTTTTCTGTCACTAAATTTGAAACTAAATGGCTTAAAGGAAAAAATAATCAGTCAAGAAACAGCAAATCATGAATGTTTACATGCAACTGTGAAGTTTTCTAATTTTACTTTAACCTTTGCTAGATAAGCTTTATGTATTGTTATAATAGAAATGTATATGAAAAACTTATTTTTCTATTATTGATATTTGACTTTAAAAGCACAGCTATAGCCCGAATCTGACATTTCACCTTATAGATACACTGAAGATAAATATACCCTAAGGTTAAAGAGTTCCCAGTAATTCTTAGCTGTATAAATATTCCCATTTTATTTTCATATTCATTAACCATTATTATCAATGACTAAAGAAAAAATTTCTGTTTCCCAAGTGCTCTATATCTGAATGAAATAAATGTTTACAAAATTTCTAGATAATCAAGTTGTGTAGGAAGAAAATAAAAGATAAATTAAATCCTTAATAAGTTTTTCTTGCAAGGAGAACCAAGTGGTGCTACAGTAATGTTTAAACTTTATGATGCCCAATTAATAGTTTTGAAATTATTTTCCCTTAGGTAAACTTAAAGCTATTGGTGTGTCCAATTATTTGGTACCCCATCTTGATGAAATGTTGAAGTACTGCACAGTTTTACCTTCTGTTTTGCAGGTAAGTTATGAACATAAAATATTTTACTTGAAGAAACTTGTACCATATCAGGTTTTCGAACGGCCAGATTCTTTACAGTGGGTGTCTGTGACTTGTTGGTGATAAATTTCAAAAACAAACAGATACTTGAAAAGATTTTTCGTTATACAAAACTGGAAGGTTGCTTTGATATACAGAAACATCTGTTAGCTGAGTTCTTGCACAGATCTTAAAATATAACTTTCATAAATGGAAACATTGGCTCATGTAGATATGTAGATCATGAAAGTCGAGTTGTTTAAGACTTGAAAATAGCATTGATAACTGGACCAATTGTTGGTTGAGATGTTGCAAAAAAATAACTGTTGAAGTTTTTTGCCAGACACTAATCATAGCAGAACCGTCTGGAAAATGATCTATAGGAAATAGTACAGCTTATAAAATGAGTCAGATCAACGTAGGCCAGTAAGGCAATCACTGAAGGCATGTCCTTTAGCTAATCAGGAAATGTCACAGACCTACTGAAGGATGTGTAGATTGTATAGAAATTGTTTTTGGTGGCAAAGGACAGGTTTATGTGTTTTAATAAAGGTGGCTTCCAAAATAGAGAGGTAAAGGTCGACCGACCATTTGTAGTAATTTCAAACATGCTATCCTTGTAGTTGTCAGCACAAGTCAGGTTCACTAGTAAATGCTCGCCAATCTCTGATTCAAATTTTGGTGGTACAACTTTTGTTTTACAGGAGTGACATGGTAAATTCTGTACTTTCACACTCTTAGTTCTTATGAATGTGGGTACATCTTGCAATCTTTGTGAAGTGTGACCTACGTACCAACATTCGCAGTGGCATGAGAAATCATAAATAACCATACTTTTCTGTGTAGTAGGTATGGAATCTTTGTGTGTTGCAGGCAACAGCTTACATGTGGAATAAGCACAGTAGGGGTTCACTGC